AACAGGAAATGATTTACAAAATCTGTGGCATTTTATAATGTTTAGAAAAAATGTTTGCTATTCAAGCTACTTCTTCAAAACATGTGAAACTCTGTAACATGGCATGTAAAGGGTAGAATCTTAATGAAGACCTAAATGTGAGAGGTAAAATCACAATATGAACATAGAAAAAAACTGAGAACCTTTGTGACCTGAAAGTGGAGAACTACTTAAGCAAAACTTAAAACATGAATAATGAAGGTAGAAATGCATTTAGCTACATCAAAGCTAAGATTTTTTTAAAAGAAGGACACTGAACAAACTTTAATAGATAGATGGTAAAATAGAATAAGAAATTTATAATTTGTTTATAGCTGACAATATCTATCACATACAAAAAGATTCTGGAAAATCAACAAGATAAAAATCCCCACTCAAAAAATGACTAAAATAATTATAAAAGAAGCATTTCAAAATTTAATAAACATTTGAAGGGATCTCAAACCATTAGAGATCAGACATATGCAAGTTAAAATAATAGCTTCTTCATTTTCATGCCCTCCTAATATATTATTTTCCAAAGTTTTAGTTTCTCCAAGAATTTCCAATTCTTATTGACAATAAACATTTGGAAATTCACTGGTAGTATCCACTACCAGTATCTAGACTGGACATTTTGGAGAACTATAGGACTTATTAAACAAAATATATTTATATTCTGTGTCTAATATTCTGCTTCTGGGTCTATACCAAGATTTTACTCAAAGCCAGTCACTGGTGGCTCATGACTGTAATCCTTCTTATTTAGAAGGCTGAGATCTGAGGATTGCAGTACAAAGCCAGCCCAGACAGGCAAGTCCCTAAGAATCATCTCCAATTAACCATCAAAAATCCAGGAAGTAGAGCTGTAGCTCAAGTGGTATAATGCTAAACTTGAACAAAAAGCTCAGCGGGAAGAATCAAGAAGATGGCAGAGTACAGCAGGGGTCTAGCTGAGCTCTCTCCAAGAAACCAGTTTTCCCATTCCAGTGAAAAGTCCATGGCTAGAGGGCTGGGAAGGTGGCTCAGTGGTAGAGCGCTTGCCTTGCATGCATGAGGCCCTGGGTTCGATTCCTCAGCACCACATAAGCAAAAAAAAAGTCGGAAGTGGCGCTGTGGCTCAAGTGGTAGAGTGCTGGCCTTGAGCTGAAGAGCTGAGGGACAGTGCCCAGGCCCAGAGTTCAGGCCCCATTACCGCACCCCCCAAAAAAAAGAAAGAAAAGAAAAGAACAGTCCATGGCTAGAAAATCACACCAAATGAGCTATAATAGTACAGAGACTTTGCCCAGAGTGGAAAAACTCAGGTAGCCTGGTTAAGAAGGCAGATTTGGGCACAATCCAGTGCCAGAAATGGCAGCCACTGGACAGATCAACCCAGCAAAAACTTAGCAGAGAAACCACAGAACTAAACAAATGCGTAGACCAACTGGACTTAACAGGTATCTACAGAATACTTCATCCAGCAGCATCAGAATATACATTCTTCTTGGCAGCACATGGAACATTCGCCAATATAGACCAAATTTAAGTCACAAAGAAAATCTGTACAAATTCATAAATTCCCTGCATTCTCTCAGGTCACAATGGAATAAAATTAGACCTCAACTCCAAAACCCACCATAAAAAGTTCTGTAACTCATGGAGACTGAACAACATGTTTACTCACCAGTGGGTCATTGAAGAGATTAGAAAGGATTCAAATATTCATGCTATTTAACAAAAATGGACACACAAAATACCAGCTCCTCTGGGACACAACAAAGGCCACACTCAGAGGACAATTTATAGCTCTAAGTTCCTACATCAACAAATTGGAGAAATCTCAAACCAACTATTTAATGAGGTACCCGAAGCTCCTTGGAAATTAATAACAAGCAAAACCCCAATCCAGTAGAGGGAAACAAATAATTAAAATCAAATCAGAATTAAATGAATTAGAGTTCAAAGACCTATATCAAGGATCAACAAAACAAAGAGTTGGGTTTTTTTTAAAGAAAATGAACAAGCCCTTAGCAAATCTGGCCCAAAAAAGGCAGAAAACACCCAAATAAAATCAGAGATGACAATGGGAACATCATGACAGAAACAAGCAAGATTCACAACAGTATAAGAGAATACTTTGTAAAGCTTCATGCTAAAAAATTTGAGAATGGGAAGAAATAGATGATTTTCTATCAAGTGTTGATATACCCAAACTCAACCAAGAAGATCTTAAATAAGGGTCTATTTATAGACCCATATCAAATATTGAAATTATAATAGCAATAAACCTCCTAACAAGGAAAAGTCCAGGACCAGATGGATTCACAGCTGAATTTTATGAAGATTTCAAAGGAGAACTCACTCCCAAACTCCTCAAACTCCTCAATGAAACTGAAAATGAAAGATAACTACCAAACTCATTCTATGAGATCAGCATAACCCTCATCCCAAAGCCAGATAGGGACACATTAAAGAAAGAGAACTATAGACCCTCTTAAATCTGATTTATTTGAAATTAATAAAGGCTCTCCAGCTCTGTTTTAGTAAAACAAACAAACCAACCCCCCCCCAAAAAAAAACAACTTAAAGACAATGCCTAGGCTTGGAGTTCATATTCAGGACTGGTGCAAACAAGAAGTAATGACAGGGAACTGGAAGTTTTCTGTATTCCACTGATTAGACACATAAAATGTAGTAGATGCCAGCTTAATATGAACATTGGCTAGAAGAAACAGAGATACACATAGCCAACTGGATGGGTTGAAAAGGCTAGAGCTTGGTGGAGCAGTTGAGAAGTAATGCAATCTATAGCACCTTTCCATTAAGATAGGTACACAAAAAAGGATAATTCTGTAAGAGCACAAACAAAAGGTTAAATAATATCAATACAAGTGGTTGCCTTGGGACAAGAGAGTCAAAAGCAGGTTATGAGGACAAAAGGAAATAAATGAGCATATGGGTCAGTGTTCAGGAGAAGCCACACATGAAGTATGGCTGGAACCACTTTCTGAATCCAGTGTTGATATCAAGCCAAAAAGTGACCGACATTTATAAAGAAAATTATGAAACATCAATCTCTATAAACAAATTAGGTAGAGAAGTTATTAATGTAATAAATTTCCCCCCAAATTGACTGGTATATTTATTAGGATCTTATTTCCCAAATCCAACCAAGTTTTTCATGGACTTAACCTCATTCTAACATTCATTTGAATGAGAAGTACAAAAAATGGCCAGTGAACTATTGAAGCAAAACACATTGAAAGTGGTACATGAGGATTCATCTAGCCTTAGTATTGAAGATAGCATGGCATAGACATAGACAAATAGACCAATGGAACCAAATGACCTCAGATAGACACATATACATAGCAATTTACACGATAGATTAGCACTACACATCACTGGAGAATATTTTTCAATAAGCTGAGGTAGGAAAAAAAATGACAAGAAAGTCTCAAAGAAATTAGGTTTTTGTCTATAACCTACCAAAATGAATATTTACAAAAAATAACCATAACATAAATTTCAAAGGCCTTTACCACTCTGGAAAAAAAAAAACTTTGTCGCCCTGGAAATAGAATGGGTAATATGGTACTCCGAAAGCAAGCAATACGCAGCAGAATAATGGTAAAAAGTAAGGAATTTAATTCACTAAAGGATAATATATAGCAGCCAGGATCTGGTGGCTCACACCTGTGATCTCAGTTACTCAGGAGGCTGAGATGTGAGGATCACAGTTTGGATCCAGCTCCACCAGGAAAAATCCATGAGACTCTGATCTCTAATTAACTACCAAAAAGCCATAAGTGGAGCTGTGGTTCAAGTAGTAGAGCACTAGCCTTTAGCAAAAAAAGGTCAAAGACAGCATCCAAGCCCAAGGACTGGCATCAACATGAAAAAACAAAAAACTATCATGAAATAAAAAGACAAAGATAAACCACAAACTTGGAGAAGATAGTTATTGTTCATATAGTAAACATGAAAAATAGTTACCAGAAAATATTTTAATTCTCAAATTTAAAAATAAACAGATAAAATTTGAAAATAGGTATTTTCACCAAAAAACCCTCCAAAGTTGATAAGAAGGCCAGGGAAATTTATTCATATTTAGCAGCTAATTAAGTTAATTTTAACTCATACATGAAAATATACATAATTGTAATTATATGTTAATGCATTACTATGTTTATATTTTGATACATGCATATATGAGTAATTTTAGTGGTAGTGGTAACTAAATTCAGGGTCTCAAGCTACTAAGGTAGGTCCTTTTTACACTCTACTTAAGCATGCTTCCAGCCTCTATTTTCATTGGTTATTTTCCAGGTAGAGTCTTCTTTTTTGACTGTATTGACCAGGGTTGTAATTCTCATACTTGAGATTTGCCATGTTGCTGGAGGATACCAACATTGCACCCAGCCATATGTTTCTCCTGTAATTGGGTTAACAGGTTGCACCACAGTGCCCAGCTGTGGCTTGAGATGGAATCGTGCACAATTATCATTTTTCTTTTGCCTGAGTTGTCCTCGAACCATGATCTTCCTGTGTCTGCTTGTCACATAGCTAGGATTACAGGCTTGAGCCACCATGCCTGGCCATGTGCACTATTTAAATCACATTAAACATACATATTCTTCAAATATTGTTTCTTTATTGTGGCAAACATGCAAAATTAGTACCTTATTGTTACCTATAATCAACCCTACTGTGCAATTGCTCACCAAAACTTCTTGCTTTAGGACTATAACCTAGTACCTATTCATCAACTCTCCTCCCTACTCTCCTCCCTAGGACAACAGAGAAACCAAATACAGATTCCCTCATCATTGATTTTAATACACTTGTAGCTTTCAGGAAAGATATTTACCAAGGTCTTTACTTAAAATTGATAAACACAGAAATATAGCTCCACTAACAGTTTTAAGAAAGAAATGAGCAGAAGAAAACAAAGTTACAAGATTTTGGCTTTATTTCATTTTTGGTATTTGTTTCCTTACCCCCAAAAAGATGGAATCTTTTTTTGCAGCTTGGTAGGGGCCATTTTGCAGAGCTGGATTTCTGAAAGCTTTGTTTTATTTTCAAATACTCCTTAGTAAAGAATGTTTTCGTGGCATTGTTCAGTTCTATAGTAAAGCAAAAGGAAAGAGAGTTTTAAACATTAATTTGAGGAAGATGAGAACACGTTTGCTGTAGGGTTTGAAATCAAATCCAGATCTCTCTATCTGTAAGAACGAAAGTGGAAATGGATTTAATTTTTTTTAAATCTCAAACAGACATAACTCATACAGTTCACATTTGATGAAACTCTGATATACCAACAGACATTCACTGAGTACCTCATATATCAGGCACCATATCATGCATGGACACATTTATGAACAAAATATAGTCCCTGCCCTCAAAGAAAAGCAACACTGCAGACTCGAATATAGAAATAATCAGGGAGATAACAAAGGGAATTGTGTGTTCTGGGTGTAGTGAGTGAATAATTGGGGACAATTGAGCTTACGAGTAAAAGTGAAAAAAATCAAGCATTTCAGAACTTTCATTTTCCCGTTTTTGACTCCTTATGTACTGCATGTGTGTGTGTGTGTGTGTGTGTGTGTGTGTGTGTGTGTGCGCGCTTGCATGGGGTTTGAGCTTAGGGAATATTGCTCTTGCTTTGCTGCTGCTCTACCACTTGAGTCACACCATGACTTTCAGCTTGTTTTTCTTTGCTAATCAATTGGAGCTCAGAGTGTCTAGGATTTGTCTGCCCTGGATGTGTTCAAATGTAAATTGTCAGATGTCAGCCTCCTGAGTAACTAGGATTATAGGCATGAGCTCCAGCCATATATATTTCTTGACATCATGGATTGTAATCAATGCAGGCTGATGCTATGGACGTGAGGGTTTCAGAAATGTACAAATAAATTCTCAACCTTTCAGGAGGTTTACTAATAAGTTATATAGAGAAAAATTATTTGAAGTATGCACAGGCCAATTAGGGGCCACTCACACTCTTTCAATAATACAGTATTTGTGTAGAGGAGCCCTAGCAAGGAAGGGGCAATCAGTCAGGCTGCTCTAGGAAGAAGCTTTTCCTACAGAGCCCAGTATGCAGCTGCTAAGAAACAAAAGGTTTCCACAGTTAGCCCCTCCTACTTTTGTGCCACAATGATCATTTCCTCAGTTTCTTTCCTATGCCACTTGTTTTGAGTTTCAGCTCACAATAGTTGCATCACATTTTCTTTTTCTTACACACTGCCTCAGATTGATTCTTACCCAATTCAAAGCAAAAACTGATTCACAAATTTTACACTTAACAACAAAAGAAACAATAAAAATTAGTCTAGGCAAGTCTAGTTATGTATTAAAATTGCAACTCCATTCCTGATTCCATACACATGAGACAGTAAGTCAAGTATACAAGTAAAAAAAAGATCTTCTCAGTCTGTGTGCTCATTATGTAAGTTGGGGTTGTTATAGCTACTCATTTTTATCCTTTATATACATTCAATAGTTAAATTATTGCAGGGTGATGTTCTCATGCTGGTTTCTGCAACAAACGACAGCTGTTTTATTCAATTCCATGCTAACAAAGCACAAGAATGGACTCTTAGTTCAAGGCAGTTGAGGTACTATTACCTGCTTAAAAGGGCTCATCATGACATTCACACCGATGAAGAAATACTTATTATGAAATATTTATATGCATTCACTAAAAATAACAATGGTCTTGTAGACTTACCCTTAAGTGTTGGTGTGTGAAATCTGGGGACATTTCTGAGTAACTGAAAACTATATGAAATAAGTTGTACCATTAACAATTAGCCACTGGGAAAACTAACTTTCTTCATGTCCTTATATGAGTGGTCCCATGTGGTGGGTTAATAAATATTTTATATGAGGATAATAAGCTCAAGAATTCTTATTATGCCTCCTTTTCCTCCCTTTCTTTCTCCCTCCTCTTCCTCCTCCAAGAAATCATGTAGCCACATTCTAAAACAATCAAATATTCAGATAATATCATTGTATAAACTTCTTTTATGAAAATTAATTGGAGGGGCTTGGCAGAGTAGCTCAAGCGTTAGAGCACCTGGCAAGCAAGTGAAAAGGTCTTGAGTTCAAATCCTAGTACCACAAATATCATTTGTAAACATAACTAAATTCTAATACAACAGATTAAAAAAACATCAGTTTTAATAATTTGCTGTAATTTTTTTCTAGGGTGTAGATACAAGAATTAAAATTAGCAATAATGCTTGTGATACTTTGTTTCTTGGCTTCAAGGAACTTAGTACATAGTATATTTCTAGACTATCTAATGAACTTATGTATTAAGATACTATTGTGAGAAAGAGTTTGAAAATAGGAAATAATGCTTTTAACGCCTAAGAAAACTATGATCACAAAAATTACTAAAATTTCTAAGAAGAGATGGGAATTATACCTACAAATACACCTGAAAGTCTACAATATAATCTTATGAGACTGACAGTTTGGGATGATTTAATTTACTTTATTGGACAGAAAGGCTTAATATATATATATTTTTATTGTAGAGATACTGTACAGAGGGGTTACAGTTACATGAGTAAGGTAGTGAGTACATTTCTTATTGAGCATTGTTATCCCCCCTGTTTTTCTCCTACCATCCCTTCCCACCCCACCTTCCAACATCTCCCTCCCTCCCTCCCCCAAAGTTGTAAAGTTCTTTTTCAACATAGTGTCTTGTACATCTCATTGTTACAATAGGTCAATCTGTATCCTTGTTTCAACTTTTTGTTGTTTTCCTTCTCCTCCCCAAATTAGAAAAAATGTATATAGAAGATGTAGGGCACTGGGATAAAATACAGTGAAAACAGGGGTTATACTATGGGGAGGAACATACAAGAGAAACAAGAAATCACATAGTACATTGTAAGGACATTAAAAACAACAGCAAGAAATATAAAACCTCTTGTGTCCTTATTCTGGGGTTCATTTCACTTAGCATTATCTTATATGGTCATATAAGCTTTGATCTTCTGCTTGTCCTAGATATATACTAGTTATTGCATATAAGGGAAACCAGTCTTTTGAAGAAGGAATGGTATAGAAATTCTTCCCCAATAGTGCTACCTCAAATTTAAAAAAAGGTTCTAATGCATTTTAGTTATGAGAAGTTCCACAAGTCACTGAGTACCTTTTTCTCTTTTTTGTATGTTTTTATTGTAAAAATGCTATACAGAGGGGTTACAGTTACATGAGCAAGGTAACAACTACATTTCCTATTGAGCATTGTTAATACCCCCTCCTTTGTATTCCCCCTACTGAGTACCTTTTTCTACTTACTTCTTGCCCCATCTCTTGCAAACACTCTTTTTGTATCTGCTATATACCTGATGCTTTGGTAATCTACCTAGGGACATAGAGATAGTTAAGTGTAATTCTAGTCTGTACGGCATTGTATTAGATCTGTGCTTCTCAAATGCCTAGCAATGCATCAAAATTAAAGTATTACTACAAATTTTAGCCTTTGTTCAAGTAATACTGCTGTGTATGAGATTTAGGAGTTGGTGCTTCCTGTGAGCTTCTGGAGTGACTCTAATATACAGCTACATTTGGTAGACACTGGATGAAATAACATGAAACTCTTTTCTGCTATAAAATTATTTGAATGCACTTAAAAAAAAGCCCTCTCTTGCTACTCCATAAATCTATAATAACTTTACCCAAGGATTATTGTTCTATCTGTACATCTGTGTTGCCTCATTTCAACAGAGCATGGAAATGCAGAATTTAGCAGTAAATAGAATATTTAACACTCCATTTCTTAAAATAGCCTGAACAAACACTGAAGAAAACTTGGAGGCTGTGTGACAGGTAATGGAAGCCCCGGCACTCCCTTATCAACCAGTGCTTTTTACTATAATTTATAACTTATTGGACATAAGCAATATTTTGATCCTGTCAAACATATTAGAAAAAGATAAAAAGTGAAAGCCATGAGGACTCTGCTGTCCAGATGATACGCTTATTAAAATGTGGAGGTAGTCACTGTGGAAATAGCAGCATCCTGGTGTGCTGCCCTCATCTCATAAGTGACTATCAGGATAAATGCATTTAGTCTTGACGTGGCTGAGGGCTACATTCAAGCAGAATGCACACACTGAAGGGGTTTTGCCATGGGGCTTCATGACATTGCATCAGTAGCAGAAAAGCCCACAAGTACATATGCATTAAGATAATTTTGAATTAAAGATTGCACCTGTATTGTACCTACATTGAACTCAAGCTTGTTCCTATATTGTGATTTCAACTTTATACTTAGATGTATCTAACTTTATACTTAACAATTCATTATAATCAAGTATATTTGTTAAGTTGTGTTTTAAGCATTCTACTAAGTGTATACATTGAAACTATAGAATAGTAGTAACTCTACTAAGTCCTATGTAGTAAATAAGGAAATTGTAAAGCTAGGAGGTGAGTGCCAGACACTAAGGAGCAATACTGTTTGCTTCTATAATGTTTCCTGATCAGATTAACGTTCTCCCTCTGTCTCGCTCCTCCCCTTTCTCCTTCCCAAAACAATTCCACAGGTTTCATTGTTTTATTTTATGCATATATATAATGAATGAGTTTTCTGATGTCCTTTTAATCTGTTGTACTAGAATTTAGTTATGTTTTCGTGTATGTATGTATGTGTGTGTGTGTGTGTGTGTGTGTGTGTATTACTTCAACCACATTCACCCTCATTCATCCTGTTTGCTCTTTGTCCTCCACTAATGCTTGTCCCCCTTACAGGACTTGCTTTACATTCCTGTCATTTATTTTTAGGTTTATGTTAATTGTTCAAAGAGATTTTTATGGTATTCCACACGTGAATATATTAACCAGATTAAGCCCTCAATTACTTCCTGTTTCCTCTTACTCAATTTTTTAATTGATTGATATGAGGTCTCTTTCGCTGTTTTTTTTTCCTGGCCCAGCCTTGAACCATGATCTTCTCATCTCCTTAAATAGCTGAAATTATAGCCTTGATATTCTATACACATCACAGACACTGTATTTACTTATTCATAGTTACTATTTGGTTCCAGAAATTTAATGCACAGTAAAGCGTATTTGTAAAGAATAACAAACAAGACTAGAGTTT